CTCTCTCTCTCTCTCTCTCTCTCTCTCTCTCTCTCTCTCTCTCTCTCTCTCTCTCTCTCTCTCTCTCTCTCTCTCTCTCTCTCCCTCCCACACACCCGCCCACGAGGCCGAGCTCTCCTGATCTGCTGTTCTTCTTGTTCTTCCCTCTCCTCGTCTTCCTCCTCCTCCTCCTCCTCCTCCTCCTCCTCCTCGTGCTCCTTCGCCTCGTGCTCCTCCTCCCCCCCACCTCTTCCTCCTCGTCCTCCTCCCCCGCCTCTTCCTCCTAGAAGGCATGTTCGATCTCAGAAAAATGGGAAATTGTAGAAATATGTTCGATCTCTATTTTTTTTTCTTCTTAATTTCGACCATCTCTCGATTTATGCGTGTCATCCTTGCGCAGGGGCCATGCTAATATTATTGCTATCATTCCAACTTTAAGGGACATCTCATCCCAGTTCCTGCTCCTCTTCGTCTTCCTCCTCCTCCTCCTCCTCCTCCTCCTCCTCCTCCTCCACTTCCTCCACCTCCTCCTTCGCTTTCTCGGCTTCCTCCGCTTCCTCCGCTTCCTCCGCTTCCTCCGCTTCCTCACCGCCTACTCCTCCTCATCGTCCTCAAGTTCGATCTCTTTTTTCCCTCTTAATTTGGACCATCTCTCGATTTATGCGTGTCATCCTTGCGCAGGGGCCAGGCTCATATTCTTGCTATCATTCCAACTTAAGGTATATCTCATCCAACCTCCTGCTCCTCTTCCTCCTCCTCCACTTCCTCCATCTCCTCCTCCGCTTTCTCTGCTTCCTCCACGTCCTCCGGTTCCTCACCTCCTCCTCATCATCATCTTCCTCCTCCTCCCACTCCCGCTCCTCCCGCTCCCGCCTCCTCCTCCTCCCGGTTCTCCTGCCGTTCCCGCTCCTGCCGTTCCCGCTCCCGCTCTTCCTGCCACTCGTTTTCCTCTACCCCCCTTGTCTTCTCCTTGCTGCGATCTCCTCTTCCCTCCATCCTCCTCGTCCTCCTCGTCCTCCACTTCGTCCACTTCATCCGCTTCCGCACCTCCTCCTCCTCCTCCTCATACTCTTACCTCCATCCTCCTCTTCTCCTCTTCCCTCCTCCTCTCTTATACCTGATCATCATCATAATCATCATCATCGTCATCATGATCGTCATTTCCACCGTCCACGTCTGACTCCCTCTCGTGTTATTGTCCTTTTTCAACCTCCTCCTCCTCCGCTCCCTCCCACCACATTCATTTTCCAGCGTCTCATCCATTGACGTTTCGTCGAATGATCGGACTTGGCTTTTGGGAGAGACTGTCGAACTGAGAAAGTGGAGGAGGAGGGGAGGGGGAGGGAGAGGAGGAAGCGAGAAGCGGAAGGTCGAGGGAAGAGGAGGAAAAGGAGGAGGAGGAGGAGGAGGAGGAGTGTATGGTCGACGTTCGGTTGCAGTCGGGGCTTGATGCATAGTCAATACCTGATTGTCAGTGACATCCCGACATCAAACCTGTTATTCTTTGTTTTTAATAAAAGGCGACGGCCTTGAAATTATCGCCTTTTTTTAGAGTTATTTTTGTCTCATCTGCTTCCATTGGATTTCGAACACAGGTCCGCATTTCAACAACTGATGGGTGTACCAACTGAGCCTGGCCTTCTTTTTTTTTTCTTTTGCGTGAAACCATTTTTTGTTTTGCCGGATCTGCTGGTCCTCTCTCTTGCTTTCCTCCAACTTTGATTTTATTTTTATTTTTTAATTTATTTTTACCAACTTGATTTTATAAATTTCCTTCCAGGAGGTTCGCTACCGTTTTTTTGTTTTTCGGGCGGCGTTTTTTTTGCGGCGCCACACCACTCTCCAAATGTGAAAACGACAAAAATGTGGCGGGCGCATCTGGCCACGGTCTGGCGGGAAGTTCATTCTCATTTTGCACTTTTCCACCGTTTGTGGTGTGGCGATGCCCTTATGATTTTTTTTGAATCAATTCAATGATTTATATCAATGATTTTTAGATTGAACAAATTCAGATATGATTCAAATGAGATATCTAGTCTGCATATTTACTTGCTGCCCTCCCTGCCTGCCTCTCCTCACACCCCTCTTCTGTGCCGCAGCTTTTTTTGCTTTTTTTTCCCCAGGGGGGAAAAAAAAAAAAGGTGGGGTAGGAAGGAAATTGAGAGATTTCACAATTCAACCAGGTATTCTGTTTTTTTTTTTAATAAAAAAATTAAAAAATTAAAAAATTAAAAAATTAAAAAAAGAGAGATTTTTTTTTCTTTTTCTTTTTTTTTCCGGAAACAACGACTTGCTAAAAAAAGAGAGATTTACCTTCTGCTTTTTTTGCTTCGTCATTCCCATCATCACCACGGCCGGCGCGCATTACAACGGCTCCCCGCATCCTCTTCCTTTCGGCGCCATCGCCATGGAAATCGCCGGGAGCGAAGCGGAACGGAGAAGAAGAAGGATAACACGGACGACAACAGTAAACAGCTCCAGAAATGGCGGGAAATCTTCCCGCCAAATCTTGTCCACCGCTCATTTGGCTCGATACTCCACCGTCCACGCAGCTTGTCCTCCTCCTCCCGCTGCGCCGCTGCCTCCCTCCTCCTCGCCTCCAGACATCGCCTCCAACTCTCACTTCCTTCCCGCCATATCCAGCGTCGCCTGAGATCGAAACATCGCCGTTGATCTCGGCAGACACATCGGCTCGGCGTACTGAGAAAGGAGGAGAGCGATTACGATAACACGTTGACAACAACGCAAGGGCAGCAAAGCGTGGGGTGGTGGAGGATGCGGAGGAGGAGGAGGGGGAGGAGGAGGTCTCGATGAAGCCAGCTATACTGCGCAGGCCTCTGCGACCATGATGTACATGATGATGATCAGCTTGCTTACGTGGACGATAATGAAGTCCATGGTGGTGGTGGGGACCACCACCATGCCCTGGATATTTGGCAGGGGTTTGATAACAACGACAACGAGCAGGAATTGCGGCAGCGGGACACGTGCATGGTGGTGGTCCCCACCCCGACTCGTAGTTGCGATTCTCTCCCTCGATTATTCCCGATGCGACCGGTCCAGGGTATGACAGAGAAAAGGGCGGGAAGGAGGATATCCCACCTCCATAGCTGGAGCTCGGACGTTTGCCCCACCCATGCAAAGCTGGCATCTTTGGGCCATAGCCATCTTTGACGTTGAAGGATGGAGCGGCAGGCAATTGCACGTCGCCATCAAGAGATGAAGACGACGAATATGAAGACCAAGACGAAACGAACAAGGAAAAGGAAGGAGCAGAAGGAAACGCAACAGAAGACGACGGCAGACCGCTTGCTGCGACCGAACACGTGTTCGGCAGCAGCATCTGCACGCCCACCACCATCTCTATGGCCCCCTTGACCTCCCTCCCTCTCCCTGACCTTTTGCACTCCTGCGGGCGCCCAGCGCGCCCAGCCCCGTGACGCGCGCTCACGCGGCCGTCCGCTCTCCCGCCATACGTGGCAGCTCCTCCGCACGTCACCTGACCTGAGAGTCAGGAGAGGGAAAAGCCCGCCATGCAAATTCCTGCTCACGGAACGTAACGCGGGAAGCAGGCCCACGTGAAGGGGGCTGAACGGACTTCACCCTCAGTTTCCCGCCAAGCCAAACATCTCCCTACGTGCACATGCATACAAACGCGGGGTGCGGGGGGCAAAAAAAAAAGTGGGCATGCGTGTGGATGGCACGCACAGATCGAGAAACGGGCAGCCCATGGTCCTTTTTTTTTATTAGGGCCTCGTTCCACTACCCTCGACTTGAAAAAAATATCAAGGGCAGCCCTACGGGCGCCCTTGCCCTTGAGCCAAAACGTAGTCAAAAAATACTAGAGGTGGTCGTCGTTCCACTACACCCTGCAGTTCCGGCTCCCAAAGGGAGCGGGAAAATGTGCGCCCCTGTTCGTCAGGGAATTTTCACAACCCAGGTCCATTCGCTGGGCCAGGACAACCGCTATTGGCAAAAAAAAAAAAAAAAAAGGACCGCGGGGCTGAACTGCTGCCTGGCGGCGCAAATTGGCGCCGTTTCCAAGAAAACTGAAATCACCTCTGGGAGGTGGCAAGAAAAAAAAAAAAAAAGGACCGGACCGCGGGGCTGAACTGCTGCCTGGCGGCGCAAATTGGCGCCGTTTCCATGAAAACTGAAGTCACCTCTGGGAGGTGACTTGAAAATTGGCCGAAGTTGCCTGGGCACCCTACGGCCGCCCTCGAGTTTCAGAGCGGGATTTTGTTGAGGCGGGAACCTTAATCACTTTCCAATAGTGATTAGCACATCTCAAGGGCATAGTGGAACGGCGCTGCCCTTGAGATTTTTTCAAGTCGAGGGTAGTGGAACGAGGCCCTTATTGTCAAACCAACTGGCCTAGCTCTGTTCGAACACCCTTGAATTGTTGAAACACAAACCTGAGCTCGAACTCCAGGGCCACGGTTCCACTAGCAGGCGGGTAAGATATAAGCATGCCAGACGAGCACGAGTGTGACCCTGCACGACGGTTGGTGATGGCGGATCACATGGCAGCAAGAATTTTTTTTATTTTTTTTTTTCTAAAGGCTAATTCTGGAGACCAAGCCCAACCAATTCAATTACCTGTCAAATTCAATTATGAAGACCAAGCCCAACCAATTCAATTACCTGTCAACTCTGGACAGGACAGCCTTTCAGGCTTTTTTTATTGTCATTATAGTATTACGGGGAATCCCGTAGCAGCCACATCCGTGCTCAAGCCTCCAACGAGGGAACATGCGGGAGCTGCACCCACCAGCAGGTGGGCGATACCGGCCAGGGGTCAGCCGGTAGCATCAGGACCGAGCTTCTTCGATGGGCCAGTCACTGTGCCTCCCCTCCGGTCCCCTCCCCCTATGAACATCAGCAGTCTCTGCTCAATGCCACTCGGGGGGACCAACGACATATCTCTAGGTGGCAGGCGCCAAGCTTGCCCAGGAAGGTGCATGAGGCCAATGGGGATTGAACCCAAGAATTTTGTTTTGATGCACCTCTTTATGTTTGTTTTTGTTTGTTTTGTTTACTTCGTGTGTGGGTTGTGTGCTTAGAAGGGTGATAAAAGCATCCCTCTAAGCTCGCCCCACCTTTTGAAGGCTCCATCTATTGGTGGGTAGCTGCACCTGTCAGAAATCGGGTCCAGCGTTTCCTTTCTGTGTTTTCTTTTTTTAACAAGGCCATACGAAAATGAGAAGAATACTGTGCTAGTCGTCGGGCCGCCCGGTCGCCTGGCCATCGCCCAGGGGGGGGGGCGGGGGGCCCAGCCGGTTGGGTCCCACGGTCAGCCGCCGGGCGGGGCCAGCGCAATTTTCAGCGCGGCGTGGGGAGGGCCTGGGTGGGTCCAGGGAGCCTCCAGATGCGCCAAAGGCAAATTATGGGCCGTCAGAAAAACAAATTTAGGGCCGACAGGGCCCTGTTCGACCTCTGTGTGTGGTGAGGCTGCAAGTGAAAGCCAGCCCCTACGGGCATTCGATTTTGAATGCGGGCTCCCATTCACACGCAGCCTCACTGCGCGAACAGACCCTGGCACACCCGCACTTCGTCTAGCGCTGCAGCTGGCCGTTGCCGTTGCAATCTCTTCCGAGCTGCCCGTTGTCATCGCCATCGCCCATCTCCTCTGAGCTGCCCCTTACCATCGTTGTCGCCCATCACCTCCGAGCTCCCCGTTACCGTCGCCGTCGCTGTTGCCGGTGCTGCCACCTTGAAGCCAGGTAACCCCCCCTCCCCCCGAGAGACTTTTTCTTCTTCTTCTTCTTCTTCTTCCTTCGTTTTTCCTCTTCTTCATCCTTTCTTCATTCTGTTCTCATGCCTATGGGTCAGCAAGGTGGGTAGGAAGAGAAATGAGTCATCACAAGATGCTTTTGGGCAACCCAAACGTCCTCGTGGCAGGCCTTGAAAGACGAAGACCACAGCGCTCGCCGCACCGGCTCATAACAAAAAAAACAGCGTCGTAGGCGTAAGACGGTGGTGGAGGATGACCCATATTTAGATGACGGCAGCAAAAAGGCATTTGAGGACGAGGGCTGCAATGCTGATTCCGAATGAGATCATCATCTCTATCATGTGTGTGTGTGTGTGTGTGTGTGTGTGTGTGTGTGTGTGTGTGACACATAAACACACACACACACACACACACACACACACACATAAACTTTGATACTCAAATCTCTGGCCATTAAACTTTGTTTCCGGGAGTGTTTATCTGCTTTTTTTTATCAGTCTTCTCCTTGTGGTTGCCGGTTTTATTCGTTTTCTTCTTTTTCTTCTTCCTCTTCCTCCTTCTCCTTTCTTCTTTTTATTTTATTTTTTAGCTTCTTCTTTTACAACTGTTGTTGTTGTTGTTGTGAAACACCTACAACACACTCATTTACCCCCCCTATCTCTTCAATTACGATCGCATTATGATATGTTTCATTGAGGCAGTCCTGACTTTTAACAACTTTTGAACTCATACATTCAATTGCATAGATTCGATATAACCAATAACAGGGCGATTGCGGGAGCTCTGCCGAAGTTCAAGAGAGACTATGGAGGTAGAGAACTATAAAGGTATGCGCAATCAACCCCATCTCTTACACGAGATGATCCAAGTATACGGCGATAGCGTTAGCTCTACCAGGGTTCAGGAAGAACTCTGGAGGCAAGGAACTATAACGTGTGCATGCCTTGCTTTTTTTCTGTACACCCCTACAGGCTACGACTTCCTATCCGATTGCATGTATGGTTGTGTGATATATGATTTCATACTTTCTTCAGGATTAAGGTTATCAAAATATATATATATATATATATATATATATATATATATATTTACGAAGTAAAAACCTTGCATGAGGAAGAAAAGGAACTTAGGTGAACCTATAAAGAATCTAGGTTGTTTGGCTGTAAGGAACAAAGCAGTAGGATGGAGGCTCCAGTGTGGATCGTTTTACTGCTTGCGTGTGTACTTATTGTTCAGTGGAAGACAAACAATGAGATGCTTCAATGTGATTTATCCTAATATTTATTTACATAAGTATTTTTTCGTAAGATTGTTTGTCTGATATCGAACCGGTAGTAGGAGACTTCATTGAGGGTCGTCCTACAACTTCTTTGACTTTAGTCTGATTAGCAGATCCGCGTTGCCGCAAAGGACCAGTCGATGACCACATTTTGATCGCTCTTCGGCCACTCAGAGTTCATGGTGATGCCATTTGGCCTCACTAATGCACCCGCCATCTTTTAGATGGCGATGAACGATATCTTCAGGGACATTTTTGAAGAATATGTTTTCGTGTATCTGAATGACATTTTGGTTTACAGTCGTACTACCCAAGATGGATCTTAGAGTTTTTCACGATGTTCTACAGCGCTTACGCAAGCATGACTTTTATGCGAAACTCAGTAAGTGTCGCTTTGTATAGTGCAAAGCAGACTTCTCAAGATACCATGTATCTGACTAGGGTCTCCACATGGATGACGCGAAGATCGTCGTTATCGCGAAGTAGCCCGCCCCCACATCCACTAAGCAGCTTTGCAGCTTCCCCGAACTTACTAGTCACTACAGTAAATTCATCTGAGGATGCGTCAGATACTCTTACGTCCTTACCTTCACTCTCCTTCGAAATAACCCGCCATGGTCTTAGACATCTCTCTGCAATATTGTTTTTTGCGCCTTCAAGAAGGCAGTGACTTGTACATCGGTTTTTCGCTTTCTTGATGTTGATCGTACTTTTATAGTCACTACCGATGCATCATATTTTGCAGTAGGAGTTACACTTTCTCATGTGTTTCCCACTACTTTTGATTTTTCTTATCCCCATATTCCCCACTTTCCTTCACCTTCTGCTAACACAATTTTTTTACTAACGCCTACCCTTCCACCACTTCCCTCAACTGACAGTCCTCCCATTATTTACTCTCTGATCATCACGGAGGATGAGACTGCCGAGGCCCATACTGGGGATTGTCTAATCGTTTCTTACTACCATCAACTACTGTATGCCAACTTGAAGATAAACTACAATGCGGATAAACTTCATAATGCGCACCCGACACTGGCGTCATTACCTGCACGGGGTGCTCTTCACAATACGCATGGATAAGTCTGTTGTCCAAATTGTCCTCACGAAGCCCAAACTTTCCTTTCGACAGGCACGTTGGTGGCGCGACTTATCTGAGTTTAGTTTTACCACTCAGCATATCAAGGGGGAAACGATTCGCGCCATCGCTGTCTTCTCCCGTCGTTCTGATCATAATCAGAAACCCATCAAACTTGCGGTCGTCTCGGCCCCCACCACTGATCATTCACGATCGACGCGTATCGTACCAAGTACCACCACTATTTGGATTCTTGCGACATTCACGTGGCACTGCGGAGTGGCAAGACCATTCCTTCATACTCCCTTGACGAGAATGATCTCATATACTGGCATGGTAAGTATCGTGGCCTAAAACCATGTACGTGCGTTCCCTCCATTTGACAACTCAGTTGTTCAAGTCGTAGCAGAGTTCCATGACCAGGCAGTTGCTGACCATATAGACTTTCACAACAGGTT